TTTTAGTAGTAGTTGCTTTTGTTGTTCTATGTTATTGTTGTACGTGTTGTTGTTGATTTCGGACAGTTATTTTTTATACTGTGGTCACAGTCCATCCTTCATTCGTTCGTGTTACTCAAGCCAATAACTGCCACAAAGAGAGCACTCACAGATCAGTAGGCCTATCTATGAAAGCATTATGCCTGTCTGACTACATCGAAGTCCACCGTACACATTTCCAGACGCAGACATCGTCGAAAAACATAAACAAAACAAAACGCTAAGCAACAAAATTACACCCGGATATATTTAACGTTCTTTTTTCTCTTTTTGTGTTTGGATAGAGTTATGACCTCTTTTACTTTCTCCCTGATCACCACTTCACGACTGTAGAAAGAGGTTAGATCGAGAACATCTCTCCAATTTTTTTTTAAATTTGAAAGAATTTCTTTAACAATGCTTCATAATACTGCTTCTAGAACTATTTTTACAACAATCCAGAAAGGGTGATCTGAAAGGTAATACCCCACTCCATGAGTTGGTGTATACCATCGTCCTGTATTTCTGACAAATCCTACCATCTATTTCTCCACAAAAGAAGAACCTATTATACCTAATAAAAAGTAGAAAAAAAGACGTTGGCCATGTAAAATACCATCAAACCATGATCAAGGGAATACTCGTCAAGATAAGGTCAACAACGGCAAAGATTGGGGTGGGGTGGGGTGGGGGCTACGCACAATGTGGACCAACATCAGATTGTGGTCTGGGCCAAATATTATTACAGAATGCACGCGAGGAGCTAGCGACCGTAAACAATGGCGGGTCATTATACGTCAACCTTGGAGCTAAGGATGGCTCCTACCAAGTCAGAGTCCAATATCCAGAACCATCCGACTTGATGATGTATTATGCTTTTTCTGGGTCACCCATTTTTCTAAATAAGGATGACAATTGTTGTTGCGTGAATTCTGGAGCTGTGGTCCTGACACCACATAGACAAGAATAATGTCTGGTGTAAGGATTTATGGACAAGGGAGACGACAGCAAAAGAAAAGAAAGCAGCCTTTAGAGAAAGAAGCACTTCTACAATGCAATGATCTAACCCAATGTTTCTGAGAACCGTCAAATGAATTCACTTGGAAAACTAGTTGTGGGGCATTTGTAAGGATTTCCTTGTGCTGACTCTGTCAGTGCGAAGCTGTTTACCCTAGAAATGTCTGCGATAAATTGTGGTTCCGACTGAGCTGAACCAAGTGCCCTCGTCCATCTCTCCCCACCCCCACCCACACCCCGACCCTATCGCCTTACAAGCCACCCCTTTATTTCCTCCTCTCCCCCTCTCTCTCTGAATCAGTCTCTGTCTCCCCTCTCTCTCTCTCTCTCTCT